TTTTTCCCGTGGACGGCAGATCACTTCCCCTCTGTTCATCGACAAAGGGCATTACCCGCAGGAGAAGACCGCCGTGATGCCGTGAGTCGTGGCGTGGCGCTCCCCGTGAGCGGAACTCGAACTAAAAATCAGAAACAGTCAAACCTCGCCCTCCCCTTTCATTCGCTCGCTGAACTTCGCGGTCCGCGGTTATTGTCCCCGCGCAATCTCCTCATCCGCGAGTTTCACGTGTTTTTCACGATCGTCCTCGAGCACCCGCTCAATTTCCGCGTAGTGAAATTGTGCTCATTCTCTTCACAATTTGTTTTCAACTTCAACACCGTTGTGTTCGCTATCCGGTGCTCGTGTGTCTTCGCTCGAACCTGCATCCATCCGGCTCAAATTATCTATAGATTCACCCTTAAAAAGTAGTATTCGTGATTATTTTGGAAATCCCGGTTTACGGTTTCCTCCATCTGGTGTACCGCGGTTATGAGTGTGTTGACATCTTGATGTTGGAAAGTTTTTAATGGTTGTCTAGGTCGTCCAAGAAGTGCTCTAATTTCGGTCTACGCCAGTGCGACCCATCATTCTTTTCAATTTTTACGTGAATAGCAACTGAATTTGTTTGTTGTTTTATTTTATGTGATCTTATGGAATATTGAGCGTGATCGGTTCAGGATACTATCTTTTCTATCGATATGACGTCATAGATAGCATCCCTCAAAGCAGACTGAGGCAGCTGTTATCGATAAACTATGCGTCCTGCGTCTTAGATTCGTGCGGGTGGTTTTTTTTGCGAGTGGCCCACAGCCGAGTTTATCCTTGTTGAGTGTTTACTTTGGTGCGCGATGGCCAGTGAAAACATGTCGGTAGCGGCCCCGACTGTGGAGGTGCAGATATCGACCCTCCTGGATAAGATCGAGGCGATGCGGCAGGAGCAGTTGCAGGCCGGGCCGCCGCGGCTCCTCCCGATGCAGGCGGAGATGCGGACCCTGGAATTTTGGCGCTCGGTCATCGCCGAGTGCATCGCGACGTTCCTTTTCGTCTTCATCGTCAGCGGCGCCGCCTCCAGCTCCGTCACCGGCGGATCGCCCACCTCCACCACGCTAGCCGCCGCCTGCGCCGCAGGACTCTCCGTGGCGGCGCTCTCGGCCTGCTTCTACCATGTCTCCGGTGAGGTTTTACCTGTATTTTCGGCCCGTGGTCGATGGTCAAAGTGCGAAACCACGCACTGAAGAAAAATTCCGGCCGTGGAAGCCGTTCTTACGGGCTGTAGGCATACCGTCTGCGTTCCGGGCTCAGAGGCCGAAAGTTCCGGGCGTAGCACCCGGAGTAATAGAAACTACGGTTCAAGCACCCGGAACTTTCGACCTCTGAACCCGGAAAGGACGGTATGTCTATACAACTCGTAACTTTTTTTTCAGTGCGTATCCCCATTGCGTTCACTGGGAAAAAGAACACGTTGGATCTAGAGTCCAGACTCTTAAAAACATCGACAAGAAAAAATACTCTTGATTCTATCAGAATCTAGCTTAAATCAAGAACCGAGCCTCTTAATTTAGGCGGATTTCGTTTTGATTTAAACAAAAATCCGATTGAATCAGGGGTATTTTTTCTTGTCAATGTTTTCAAGAGTCTAGACTCTAGATCCAATGTGTTTTTGTTTTTTTTTCCAGTGCGGCTATATAGACATACCGTCCGAGTTCCGGGCTCAGAGGCCGAAAGTTCCGGGCTCAGCACCCGGACTAATCAAAGCGACGGCTCTAGCACCCGCAACTTTCGACCTCTGAACCCGGCACGGACGGTATGTTCATATAGCCAGCAACTTTTTTTTCAGTGCGTACCTCCATTGCGTTGTTTCAACATTTCTGCTAAAGATAGGGGACCGTCCCCGAATTACGTTAAGCTCTTGAGGGGAAGGAGGTCAAGAGAGCGTTACGTTATTACGTGTTGAATGATAGGGACCTCCGTCACAAAAGCGTTACAAGAGGGAGGGGGGTGTCAAAAATGCCAAAAAAGTGCGTCACGAAATTTAGGGACGGCCCATTAAAGCTTAAAATTTATGCAGGACATTCTGCGAATGGGGAAGAAAAATCTTGAAAGTTTTCGGAAAAGTACGCCGACTGGTTTTCCAAAAAAAAAAAATAAATAAAAAAAAATAAAAAAGTGAAGCATGACAGGAAGTCTACAACATCGCAAACGGAGATACGTGGTTTCGCACTTATGAGTATGACATCGATATGCATGAAACCGAGAAAATTTGTTTGTCCGCCCTAGCTTGTTTGACCGTATTGCTCCCATAGACGCAGCTGGAGGGGGGGGGTCTGAAAGGTCGAGCTCCCCGTCATAATCGAAAATTTTCCTAAAAAACGTAATTTTTCGTCATTTTTAGGAATTTTTTCATGAGAACGTTTTGATTGCCTATGAAAAATTTCTGGCTACGGCACTACCCGACCCAGACTACCTCATAATATGTGTACCCCAAAATTTTAGTCGTAGGGGGAGGGTCCTGGGGATCCCTTTTTCCTGCACGACTGTAAAATTTTCCAAAAAAGTCATTTTTCATGATTTCAGGAATGTTTTCTTTCTCCGGGCCCCCTCTCATATGAAAAATTTCTCACCGCGTAATCTCTCCCTTTCCATGAAGAATGTCTGACCACGCTAGAAACGACCATGGTGTTTGGCTGAGGGTTTTGATGAAGGGTGACAAACTACGATAACGTAGATCATGAAAGGGAATCATAATAATACTTCGCATGATGGCTCAGGGTTCTCCATCCAACTAGAATTAACTAGTCGAGAGTATGCGACGCTCGCATTAATTAGTCTTAATGAATATGAGCTTCGTTCCCCCTATTCATACATACAGGGTGATCAACGTGCCTTTGACCGATTGGAGTCTTTAGAAAATGGAGCTCTTTTTTTATTCGGCCCTTTGATCACATCCCACAAATTTTGAACGAATCTCTGAATCGGCATATCTTAGATGTAAAATCACTCTGGCGAAATAAGCATGAAAGTAGACTATTAATTATTTTAATCACGTTTGAAATGCTTATTTTTCCGAAAAAAACTCGGCGTGCAGATCGGTCACTGAACTCATTCGACTTCATTTTGCAATAAGAAAAACACTACACTGAAAAAAAAATTCTCGGCATTTTTACCAAGGTCCGTTGGTACCTTTACCATCTTACTTTTTTTTTACCAATTATTGGTAATTTTACCAAGACAGACTGCCAAGAAAACCTAAAAACCGGTATCTTTACTGTTTTTTTTTCAGGTAAGAATACCACTTTTATTGGTAATCAATTCCCGGTAACTTTGCCATTTTATCTCGGTAATTCTACCACAGTCGATAAAAAATATTGGAGTTTTTACCAAGGCCCAGTAAAATTACCGAGAGAGTTCAATAATTTTACCGAGATTTCTCGG